GAGAAATCCAGTGTCGTTTCCTGCTCCTTCCACCGCGGCCTCTGTAAATAATTACTCATGTTGCGTGACTTATTTCTTCCGCTCTTATGTGGCAGATGTTTCAGTTAACTGTTATTTCTGCTTTCAAAGATTGATATGTATGTGTACATATGTTAACGCACTTCTGTGTTTCTTTGCTAAGTAGCAAGACAGTATAAGCAAACGGAGGTGTGTGACATTTTTGATTCACGTCCTATTGATGTTCACTAAATTGAGTCGTTCATCTTACGCGGCAGGCAGGAAAAACAATTTTCGGGAAACTATTTTTCTCGCGAAATCTGTATATATATATATATATATATATATATATATATATATATATATATATATATTCAGTAGACATTTTCTTGTGCTACTAAATATACAATAAAGTTTATTTTTACACAAGTAATGTCATGCACTCAAACTCGGATGATTTTGTAGTCAACACGTTTTTATTGAAATGGAAGCGAATCGACTTAGTATGTTGACAAATAACTTACAAATGGTTGTTTTCCCAATAGTTGGGTGACGTGTATGTAATACTGTTTCTGTATAAAACTTTGAAGTCTATTCGAACATTAATTTTGTAACCTGTTTCTATGATATGTTTAGCTATAGATGATGAGGGTCGTCTCTCACCAGCGTTTATCATGGTTTCATACTCCGTTCGCTTCTGACGCCACCTAAATACATGTCCTCCCACCTTCAACTACATGGTTCGATAACTCCTCCCTATATATGTGTGACTGCACACACATGCAAACTGTAAAACACAATGGGATAACGTAATCATTGATGCAGTGTTTAGGTTAGTGGTGAAGCATGTGTTTTGTTTTTTTCGCAATGATAAGATTAGAGTAATCGAGCCATGTAACTGAGAGTGGGAGAACATGTATTTAGATGGCTTCAGAAGCAAATGGGGTATGAAACCATGATAAACGCTGGTGAGAGACGACCCTCATCATCTATAGCTAAACATATCATAGAAACAGGTTACAAAATTAATGTTCAAATAGACTTCAAAGTTTTATACAGAAACAGTCAGAGACGTATGCTGAGATTTAGGGAAGCCATAGCCATAAACGTATTATTATTATTATTTGTCCCTTGGGTTCCCAATGGAACATAGGGCTTCAGTAGCACGTCTCCAGTGAACTCTGTTCTCTGAAATCTTTTGGACCTGGCTCCACGACAGCCCACAAGCTCTCATTTTCTCCTCACACGATCTCCTCCATGTCACCCTCGCCTCGGACAACCAACTTAAACGCTTCACATCAGGGTTCCACTCGAGGGCCTGATGCGTGATGTCCCAGTCGGCCCTCTCAGTGCATGCCCAATCCATCTCCACTTCCTGCCAGTGCATATTTGTTGGTGATAGGTTCTTGGTTGGTTCGTTCCCAGAGTTCCTTGTTGCTTATTCTTATATTCTCGCCATCTGATATTCAGTAACGAGTCAGTGTAGGCAGTTTTGATGAATGTCTGTAGTTTGTTGGAAATCCCTTCCGTAACACGCCAAGTCTCTCACGCATCACACAGAAGCACTGATTTGACGTTGGTGTTGAAAATCCGAATCTTGTTCCACATGCTGAGTGCAGAAGATCTCCACACCGGTTTCAGGCTAATGAACACCTGTCTTGCGTTTCCGATTCTGACTTTGACATCCTCGTCTGTCCCGCCTATATTTGAAACAGTGCTTCCTAGATAGGTGAAGGAGGTTACTTCCCTTAACTTTCTCCCATTGATGGTGATTGGAGTTTGTTGTTGTTGGTGGTGTTGTTGGTGCGGTATCTTCATCACTTCTGTCTTCTCTATATTCACCTGAAGTTCCGTCTTCGCTGCCCTGCCTCTTCTGCCAACTTGTTAGTTTTCGCCTGTAGATCTTCAAGTTTGTGCGACATCAGGCACAAGTCATCGGCGAAATCCAGATCATCTAGGTTCTTTTCCGCGGTCCAGCCAACGTATCCCCCTCTTCTCGCTCTTCACTGTTTGTTGCATGATCCAGTCGACCACAATCAAGAATATCATGGGGGATAGTAGGTAACCTTGTTTCATTCCTGTCTTCACTTCAAAAGCATCACTGAGCTTCCCATTGTGAATTACTTGGCATGTGGCATCTTCATATAGTTGTTGAATGAGACTGATAAAGGCTTGTGGTATTCCGTAGTGTTGAAGCAACTGCCAAATTACCTATCGGTCGACGCTGTCAAAGGCCTTCTCAAAGTCGATGAAGTTGAGGTAGAGACTCGACTGCCATTCTATACTCTGTTCTATTATGATGCGAAGCGTATCAATTTGGTCTGCACATGATTTGTACTTCCTGAATCCAGCCAACCAGCCAGCCTGTTCCGGTCGAAGTTTTGAATCTAGCGCATCCTTTAGTCTCTCCAAGATGATGCGACATAATATTTTGCTTGCCCTGGGTGGACAGGAACGTGATTCTGCACCAGTTCTTGCAAACACTGAGATCTCCCTTCTTCGGGAGTTTGACAAGGTAGCCCTTCTTCCAATCAATGGCCAGGTACCTTCCCTTCCTTCCACACCTTCGGCAATAGTGGTGTGAGCATGTCCGCTGTTGTCTCTGTGTCTGTTCTCAGTGCTTCTGGTGGGATTCCACCTGGTCCTGCTGCTTTCCCACATTTCAGTAGCCTCATGGAGTTCAGGACTTCCATTTTTGTTGGAGGATTTGTGTTCACTTGTAGTTCAGTGGCTGGACTGCAGGTGGTATTTCTGGACGAAGTGCAGGTGGTTATGGTGGTCGATTCAAGAGCTTCTTGAAGTGGTCAGCCTATCGTTTCCTTTGTTTCTTCTCTTTGGTAATTAGATTTCTTTCATCATCTTTTATTGGTTTCACCTGTGTTGATCTCTTCCCTACCAGATAGCAACCTGGTTATTTGATATAATGTTGTCAGGTCTCTATCTCTCCTACCTGCAGCCTGTTCTGCTTCACTTGCAAGTGTGTCGTGGAAGTGTCTTTTGTCTTTCCACCCACTCTTCTTCACTTCTTTGTCCAGTGTAGTGTTTTATACATTGTACTCAGTTCCTCTTCTCGTTGAGCATCCTTGCACTGGTTTATCTTCTGCTTTACCATCCTCCTCTCCCTGCTCTATCAGCTTCCATGTATCCATTCAGATCCATTCCTTATCTTCTTTCTTCTTCCTTCCTAATACGGCTGTGCAGGTTTCTTTCCACATCTCTTTCAAAGACTTCCAGTGTTCTTCCACACAGGTTTCTTCAGGGATGTTCCTCGATATCTCCCATTTTGTTCTGATGGCTGACATGAAGATTTCCTTTGTAGTTTCGTCTTCAGTTTCCGAGTGTTTTACTTGAACTGTGGTCTATCAACAGCTTCCTTGAAGGCTTTTAACTTGATTTGGAAGGTTCCTTGCACTAGACAGTGAGTGGTGTGAACTTACACCTGCTCCTCTTCTTGACCTTGTGTCAAGTAGGCTGGCTGTTTCTCCACTTTCTTCAGATTGAGATAAAGTCGATTTGATTTTTAGTGTGTCCTGGTGTCTGGTGAAATCCATATCGCTTTGTGATTTCCTTGTGCTTGAACACACTGCCTGATTCCAATCACCAAGTCGTTGAATGCATAGAATTCTGCAAACAATTCTTCATTCTCGTTCATTTCACCTAGCGCTTCTCGACCCACGGTTAGTTCTCTTCCTGTGTTGTCCGCTCCCAGTTTGGCATTCATGTTACCCAGCCATTGGAATTTTGATGTCACCAACTGAGGTCTTGTTCAGTGTTGATTGAAGTTGTCTGTAGAATTCCACCAGCTATAAACGTATGACTCATAGAAATATAACGATAATTTGCTCAGGAGCAAAAACACCCCCACACACTTTCATACAGCGGATAAAGATTAGAATCATAATCTGTGGATTTTGTTGATTGTTCCGTTCATATTGATTTCTTTGCAAAACTAACATTAGATTAAACATTATTTCAGCTCCAAAAATTTATATCTTTTGGGTTCGATCGCTCGTCTTAGCTACAACATAGACTGTTTCCCTACTGAAATAATTTTAGTGTATGCCTTAACATCGATTACTGTATTGAAAGTATTTTCATGCATTTATAGATGTAGAGCCTCAAAAAGTAGTAAAAAAGATTGTTCGCTCAAATTATTCTTGTTTTGAATGGTCTATGGGGATCTTTAAAATGCATATAAATGCAATTCAATCCGGCGCAGGCTTTATATACTAGTAGACTGAGTCACGCTTGTTGGGTGAGGGCTTATGATACTACTTGGTTCCCAGGTCAAAGTAAGTGGAGCAGCACAACGATATTTCATATATATATATATATATATATATATATATATATATATATATATATATATAATCATGAAGGAACACAAGACAGTTGTACTGATTTACAAGACGTTGGAAGAAAAAAGGAAAGGAAAAAAGGCTAAGATAAAAATACATCCCACTACTTAGAGCATGATCAGTAATCAATGAGCTTTAGAGCGCACCAAGCGTTATCAACTTTTCGACAAACAAATAAGCAACAACACTACATTTCATATTCTTTATTTTACTTGGTAATAATAGCGAAGTATACCCCAAATTACCTTTTGATGCACCAGTTCATAGTTCCTTATCAATTGGATACAGATATGTAGAAATTGTGTATCCAATCACATAAGCATTTATTGCTCAGCATCCCAACATGTATTTCTTGAGCAATCACTGAGTTCGTAGTTTGTAGGCTTAGGCACACAACTCTCAACCTTGTCACGGGTTCGAACTTAGATCCACTTACTATTGTTTGAACTGACAAATAGTATCATCAGCTAGGAGGTTATAGATGTGGTTTACCGCCTAAAGCAATGGATTTGTACTGTATACATTTATACATACTGTGGAGGACAACCTAATTTATATGCAAAACTATAGTTGGAACACGTTTAGCTGATGAATTTCTCACAGAAATAAAGCATAGTAAAAAAGGATTAAACAAAAGACTATTACCACATGAGTTGTATCATCTTCCTTATCATCCAAAGATGTTGAATTCGATAGTTGTCTAGCGAGCATGATTTCTGCTCTAGGATCAACTTTCCGATAACCAGATGTCTGAAAATAGCAGATGAAAGCAAAGATCAAAGTGAGGTAATGGTTCAAATTCATCAAAGGTTATTTCATTTACCAGGCTATAGTCTGCATATATTTCATAAGAGCTATGGACAATACCAGGAGGCGAAATTTTATTAGACGAAGTGGGATTCGAAACTAAAGAGCAAAGGTTTAAAGTTGAGTACCTCAAAAAGGAGCATTAAGTTTAAAACGTGTACAAACATCACAGTTTACAGTAATACCCAGGTGTATGCAAATCACATGAGTACTTGAACCACTACTGCAAACACCCGCTACAACCACCTGATGCACGAAGTTCATACCATATGAAAATGTTTTGTGCTGATAATTCTCAAAACTAATTGCTTTGAGTAAATATTAAGCTCGCTCGGAAAAGCCAGAATATGAACCACAAACTTGTGATAAATCACAATGACTACCATACTACTCACTAACAATTTAGTAGTTTGGCGTACATGGCAGAAAAACAGGGCATGATATGATGACTCATCACTAACATGGTATGAGCAATGCCTAAGCAGGTAAAACAAGTCAGAAGCTGGTTATCACTAAGGCAAACAATGAGATGTTAAGCCTCATAATCAAGAATATCAGCCCAATCAACCCACTTACTAAACAGATTTATGAACAAAACACACCCAAAAAAGTTGTCTTTGATTCCTAAGAAAACTGGAATACAGTGAGAAATATCTACAAAATTTATGATTCTTCTTTTTTTATTTATGATGAATAGATAGGAACGGCGACTTTCATTCTCATAACCACGACGTTCTGTACCGATATAAAACTTTATATAGAGCCAAACAAGAGTTGTTCTATGAAACCCTGCAATCATCATGGTAGATTGCACCAGATACAAGTTGTACTAGCCAGATCTCATTTCAAAATATATCTATTTTCAAAAGATGGTGATTGAATGAAAAAACTAACGCAGAACCTTGCACAAGAGTGTATCGGTTCAAGTTGCCACACTTCATAGAACCACACAAAGAATAGGACGCGAGTACCATTATTCACTTAACTTCATCTGGCCAATATGGTGAATCCGCAAAATTCATACTTCGAGTTTTTCCGAATTCGATGGCCAGTTCTCGCGGTCTTGACCGTGTGGGTACAGCATTGAGCGCTAAGGTACTAAGTTTACTACTCGACTGAATCCCAGATGATAGTCACCTGTGCGCTGTTCAGATGAATAGCACAGTGAGTAATAAAAATGATGGTGAAACTTCCCGTTGTCCCTTTGTAATTTCTCCTTACGCAACCATTGATAGAAGTTTGGATAAAGTGAAGAATGAGTTCTACCGAAAGGTGTCTAGCCTTCTACTGAAAGTCAAGAGTTCAGAAATTGTTGCAGGTGATCTCAGTGCACAAGAGGGCAGGCTAAGTCAGGCAGAAAAACACTTAGGTGGCACTTCCAGGATTCTAACCGAGCGAACAGAAAACGGCGACCGCATAGTACAACTGCGCACACATAACCGTTTATTCCTAATCGGTACAAACTTCAGGCAAAAAGAGAAACATTGTCTGACGTGGCGTCTACCGAGCTCAACTCAGTGTTGAACATAACCAGACCACAATGCTATCGGTCATCGCTGGAGAGTCCGTTGAAGACTGCACCCCCTTCCAGAGCTAGTGTTTGGACAGCGACAACGCGTTGTTTTGAGCGCATGTATTTCTGCGCCTCAATGAACGTTAAAAAAAAACTTGAGCAGCAAGACTACTGCGAATAACGCTTGATAATGAGAGCACTAAAGCTGCTTAAAGTGGGAAAATGGCTAGGCATTCATCGAAATGGAACAACATCACTCATCCAGAAGAAGCTTGGTGCCATTTCCAGTCTGCTGTAAAAAATTGTGTTGAACACCATAGCAATTTCTTAGAGAGTGGTTGAAAAGAGCTAGGGGGTCTCAGTAGCTTCTTCTGAATTGACAGATGGACGCAAACGTACCCCTGCAGGCTTCGAGTAGAACGAGGAGCGAATTCAACTCAAACGTCGACCAACAGAAAGTTTAAGCAATGACCGCTAACAGAGACGGGCCGCGAAAGCTGAAAAGATGGAAACGGCAGCGGTGATAGGTAACAGTAGACAGTTACTTAGACTAAATAAGGAAACTGGAGTGAAAAGGTCATTGGTTAATGAGACTGGTATGGAGAAGGATTGGTCTGCGATTCACTTGTATGGGGAACGACTGGGACGATGGGTGAAACACTCTGAGGAACGGTTCAACTGATCTCCAGTTACTATTTCGTTGTCCTCTATCCAGTTGGAGCCTGAATAGAACATCGAGATAGGATCTTCAACACTTGCAGAAATCGGGAAAGCTGTAGGTAACCTGAAACGAGGAAGAGCAGGAGGACTAGACGGGTTAGTTCCACAAGGATTTAAGGACGATGGTCAAGGATTTTTTTAGTCAAATTAAGTGAAGTGTCAACTAACGTGTGGGAATCAGACCCGATCTTTTCTGACTGGTCTCGATCACTGATCGTCCCTGTCTTCAAGAAAGGTGAGACGTCCTCCTGTGATGACCACAGAGGAGTCAACCTGATGACTATAGTCTAAGATCCCAGGTTCTATAATCACTGGATATCTGAGTGGATCTCGGGAACAGCAAACCCGAGGAAACCTGGCAGCATTCCATCATTTTTGCAATTATCTACCATAGGAAAATTAACACCAGCCTGGACGGGCTGGTTGTTGACGGATACAGAGGGCCCATTCAGCATTTGCTAACTTGCATAACCTATGGCGTCGGCGAGATATCCGGCTATCTACCAAAGGACGGGTATACTGCGCTGCAGTCCGTTGTGTCCTGTTGTACAGCTGTGAGACAGGGTCGTTAAAAGTAGGAGATATAAAAGAGTTACAAGTTTCCGTCAATAGGTGTCTTCATAGCATTGCCCACGTTTGGTGCAATCACCGTATGAGCAATGTTGAGGTCAGGCGAAAGGTACTAGGCAAGACAAGCAAGGTGACTGACGAGATTGTGAACGTTAGTCGACTCTAGACGGCTGAAATATATGTTACGCTTGCTTAGTCACCATCTGCCTCATTGACCAATGTTGGCTGAAACATGTTCAGGCTGAAAAATGGCTCAAAGTGGCCTTACTAAAAAATAGCATCACTCCATGAAGACCTTGACCGTTGGCTTGTGTCATGAACGAATATGCAGATTTGCCGGTTGTGGTTCATGTGACAAGAGAAACTATCAGTTAGAGAATCTAGGTAGTGTGGCTCAGAGTCGACGTCAGTGGCGCAGATGTATCCATAGATATCCATATCTATACGCTATACTGAATTATGAATTTCCTCATTCCTGCTTCCTCTTTTTAACAGCTTTCTATTACTTCTGACCGACTTTTCTCCCTTTCTCCAACTTTTATCTTACTGCTTTGTTATTTGATGTGCTGATATGAGGTTTGGCAACTTGTACTGTTGTGCAGTAATGCCTGATCTTATATTGATATTGATTAGTTGATAGATACTCTTGACAAACACCAATAGTATAACTAAGAAGTGAAGTCACAGATATTCATGCAAAATATAAGGACGATCTCGTAATGAATCGTTTTGAGCACCCATCATAATGACGATTATATTTTGTCTCGTATGAGGAATCATCCTACATTCGACAACAATATATACCGCGATAATATGTTTGGCATAGATTTATAGGTGTTTAGAAGTAAACCGACATGTGTACGATGAACATTGCTAGTGGTGTATAGCAAACTAATATTCACCAAAAAAAACCGTTCATCTAAATTACGCCAAGAAGCCATGGTACGATCATCGATACAATGCGCATTATTATCAAAAACTATTCATATCCACTTATCCTGGACAAAAAATGGCAATTTAAGTAGTACACAAAAAAGTAAATTCAATCTATGCGGGTAGTAAACACATAAATTCTCAGGCTTTATATATAAGTTGGGTATCCATAAATCATATTTAGAACACGTACGCAACAGATTATACTTGATATTTATCCTTTGCTTGGCGCCGTTCGCTCAGTTACTGATTAACGTTTATAAGAATCCTGAACTGTTTGAAAACTAAAACGCTTACTGCGTTTTTACGAATATATCTTAACAAGAAGTATTAGTTAACATTTGATGACATGACGACGCCAAGCGAACCTTAAAGAACAATAGTTTAACATAAAGAGTTTTCTGTGATGTGATCGAAATCCCACGTAAATTACAAAAGATTACGTAGCTGCCATTCAGATGCACAGAATAAGACAAATAAATCCCCTGAGCAACCTTGTGTACAATCGTGCAGTAGGTAACGAGTCACACTTATTGTGTGAAGGTTATCTAGCTCCCCTAACTTCGGTAAATGGAGGAGCAGTGTTTGTGACGCACTGGTTGCAAGTCAACTGCCTAGACCAAAAAGCCACAACCCCATATGAAAGCTAACAAGAGAAAACACGATCTTTATAACTCCATGAAGTATTTGCAACTGATTCACATATATTAGCCTTAAATAAGGAAACTCCGAACTAAGTTAATACTTTTCATCATCATCATCATCATTATCAACATAGGACCAGGCATTACTGCGTAACGGTCCGAGTTGCCACACCTCATATCAGCACATCAAGTAAAAAGGTAGTGAGGTGAAGGATGAAGATAAGTGAATGCAGTCAAAAGAAATATAAAGTATGAGAAGAAAGGAAAGAGGAGTGACAAAATAGTGAGATTCGGTATAGCGTTGTTAAGATGAGGATAATGTGTGTATACATCTGCGCCACTGACTTCGGTTCTGAGCCATATCACCTAGGGTCTCCAACCACTGGTTCCTCTTGTCCCGTGGACCCCAACCACCTAGTCTGCATCGTCCTACATGGCTTAAACCAAAAGTCAGAGACTTCATACATTGGTGCCATGTTTTAGTCTGGCCACCTCGGCCTTTTTCCAGCCTGAACCCACCTCAGCCAACATTGTGTGAAGAGGCAATCGGTGACTAGGCATACGTAGTACGTGTCCCAACCATCTCAGTCGATGAACTCTTTATGCGCTATATTCCTCTTGTCTTCTTTTTATGATATATTGACATTAATCATGCGATTGCAACCAATATTATTATGACTCAGGTAGTCTCCGTCGGAAAGCTTAATTTTGCTTGTGAGGATGTTGAATTGAATTTAAAAAAAGCACAAGTAGCAGTTAAATTCACACCACAGGATTTATAACGATTGGTCGAAAGCCCCACCGACTGACCTACAAAATGAGATAACTGCTAACTAAACCTGTATGTGGAGCAAATGAATGAAAAACGGATAGTCATATATCTCATATTTACATGTCAAACGGATGAGGTATTCGACTATTGCAGAGAAATTGTGTGATTGACGGTTGGGTAGAATGACCGGAAGCACCTCGACTGAGTTATATTTTAATTTAGGTTTTTTTGGCTTCGATTTCCCATAACTGCCAGTATTTTCAGTAGTAACACCTTAGCCTTACATAAGGCCTGTTGTGTTTAGTTTCTGTGTTCAGACAATTTCTATTCTACAAATCATGATTCATCTCTTTGGAGTAACATCTGTTCTTATTTTCGACTGGAAATGAAAATTTTTTGAATTGAATACTTTCAGTTCATTAATGAGATCCAGTTTGTATGCATTTAGCCATAGCCTGCACCATAGCTAACCCAGTTAAGTGAAAATCTCATAACCCAGACATGTAGTGAATTTCCCCAAAAAGATATGCTGCATGCAGTTGTTCTAAGAAATATATTTGAAAAATATCAGCGTGACGAATAATGACAGGATTTTGAGTCAACTTGTACCTTAGTGTTCTAGCAGCCTAACTCCGCATCACAAAGTAAAAGTCAATTTCGACTAATCTCGAGAGAAATATGCTAAAGTATTAGTCTGTCAAATGCATGAACGTAAGTGTTGGCAGTGATTTCACATTTCAGCACACAATTTTATAACATACACTTTCAAAAACAGTAACAAGTTGTCGACAATAATAATAGAAACTATTACAAGGAGGTATCAGTTGGTGTGTGACTTAATCTCACGGGCATACCACCAGTTAAATTTAAAGCACTTTGAAAGAGGCGTTAGATATCAGACCACGAATAGCTATGGACTACAGCTTATTTCTCGTAGTAATATCATGTCTGTGATTACATATAGACTGCTAACTCTTCGATTTTAAAATTATGGGGATTTTAAAAAAATTATTCTTCAGTTTAACTTGACAACCACATAGAAGTTTGCGTACCAGATAATGAGCCATACCTGATGGATGAAAGCTACGGATATTCACTTAATTCCTTGAGCCACAGTAGATGTAGCAGGATTTCAACCCGTAGTCTACTGCTTAAAAAACCTAAACCGATAAGTCACAGGCCAGTCGGATGTTGAAGTCTCTCTCGTTGTTCAAAACATAAGATGAGATCATATTGTTGGCAATACCCATGTGAGTATGTGAAGTTACAGTATCGTCAGAACACTATCAAGGTGTCCACATAAACACTTGTCAGCATCATTATCGAAAACAGAATACAAATAGGGAAACGGTTCTATTTTGGAAAATAATGTTGTTTCAAGTCAAGCCCATCCGAACATAACTAAATCGATGTGATGAGATGCGACCAACCCGTTCAGAAATATTTCAATTACGTCATCTTCGTACCGCAAACGTTTTGGCTATTCACAAATATTCTAAACTCTGCGTATTAAGCGTTTTGAACTCATCGGAACTGAGATAACGTAAACGTTTTCAGTAAAGACCTATGTTCTTTCTTCGCTCTGCGTTTATTGTTGGTGTTTGAACTTGCATTAACTCGCGTAACAGTGTAGTAACATAGGATTTATCACGATGTGACGGTAAAGACAAATGTTGGTTGGAGTTGGCTAAGGATGATTTAGAGAAGCTGACGCAAAAAGCAGCAGATCTTGGGGATTATAGTCAGTTTTCTGATAACTCCATCTTCTCAAAAGTTCACCTCATCAGCAGATACAGTTGGTAGAATCATTATAGAGTTCGCGTATCATCTAGAAGCTTTAATTACTTTTAATACTTTATTTTAAAGACAAAATCTTTTTCGGGTCGATTTCACGAATTAGGAGGATGACTGAAAATTCCTGCACTTCTGATGAGTTCAATGGTATTCTTCATCTAAATGAACTAGTGCAACTTCACCAACCAACAAAGACAAAAAGATGAGACAGTACCGGTCTAACGTACGCAACGATGGGTTTATCAGAAATAAAGCATGACCACACTATTTACCTTTCCAAGTGCTGAAATGATCTTATTCAATAATCACGTGGTGACCGCTTAGTACATTCTAATGTGCTAATCTAAATCTGCAATGGTGTACAGCTTCATGTAATATAATCCAAGTGTTATGAAGTGACAAATGACAATTAATTAGTGACAGAAACCACTGATACTTGGAGTAGGGTCCAAACCTTAAAACCAATGAGCTAAAGCGCTACTCTCCACATTTTTTTACTTTTTATAGGTTAATTGTCACTCATATGAGCAGACATCCAATGGTTTGAGTAGATACTAATCTCGAACTCACACTGCTGATATTCGAACATTTGATCACTTTTCATTGTGTATATTAGCTGCAGACTTGTGGATAAGTGGCTTACGTGCTAAACTACCGACTATAGGATCATAGGTTCCTCTTAAGCCTACCTATCTTCACCTAGATGATCTAATAATAGTGTGCATGGTTGACAACCAAGTACAATAGCTAGTATGGGACTTATGAAACGCATAAGTATGTAGGCGATGTAAAAAAAAAACTGCGTAAGATTACTTCACTGCTACCAGTTAACTTTGCAACCAAGCATGGAAGGCGTTAATTACAATACATTATGATAAACGTCACTAGTAAAAAAGGCACTAACCCCATCAGTTGAAGGTAACTTAGACTCCAAAGCTTTAATACGATTTTTAATTGTTGTTGTCACTTCATTTTGTGGTGCTTGCTTGAGATTATGTGGACGATTTTCAGACTCCAAATGATTACCATTATTTTTATCACCATTATGATTATGACTCGTCTCCGGTTGACAAATAGGGCGGATAAAACCGAGTGGTTTCTGGAATAGTTAATAAGAATTCAAGAATAACATTAACAAAGCCACAGAGGAAAAGTTTACCGAATAACAAATTAGACACTAATCTTATCACATGGATCCCATTTTTAAACCATCAAAACAACTGAGATATAGTTGACTAGATAAATCAAAGTTTTCCAAGCAAACTCGCTTACTCATACGCAACGAACTAAACACTGGATTAGAATAGCTTCAAAGCAAACTACATTATTGTCTAAGCAGTATCCAATGAGCTACACCAATTGTTATACTATCTAGTTGCCTAAACCTCGGTAGGAGGATCAGGATTCAAACCCACGATGCATCGCTTGGAGGTCGAGTGCCTAGATCAGTGAGCCAAAGCTGCACTAATGTTCGAGCACTGACTAAACTGGTCAATAATTGTGCACTAAATAAGTTTAAGACAGATAACCTATTTCTTAGTATAAATGAATATTTTGATGTTGTTTTCTTTGAGCTGGATGGTTTATTCGTAAAGCTTTCATTGTCATTCTAAACATCATCAGCACAAACCTAAACCATCCATCTCAGAGAAAGCAACATGAAAATCATCCCCTGAGATACAAATATTCTCCATCATCTAATAAATGAATACTGTCAACTTAAGAAAAATTCTACACGCAAAAAGATGGTGTTCCATGTGCATAATGTAATACCGTAATCATCAGTTCCTGAGCGAAAATCCAAGAAAGGTAACCAATCTACTTGCTCAGCCAAATCTTGTTTCATATTTCCATTACTGGTCTTACACATCTCAACATAATAAACAAAAGCGAAGTCGAGAAAACAAATGACCGTCTGAGCTGGTAAGGAGATAGTAAGAAAACAAAACAAATGAAATGAAAACTACAACACAGAACCAAAGGATTAACAAGAATACAGTAAAAATCGCACTAGAATAAGGGGAATGTTATACTTGTGTAAATATAGTAGTATATTCCTGAGAAACTGAAATAGATCCATTTTTCCGCAAATAATAACTTCTGGTACTTGAAAAACTCCAACTAGTAGTTTACAGCTCTCCATGTGAGTCACATTAAAATTAGAGACATACAGGAGTGCTTCGTATACTGCTCTAAGCATCTTGTAGTTACTTTGGTCACACACCTACCACATATAAAATCACAATGAGGTAAGAGAAGAATATGTGCAACTAACGTAAATCAAAAGTATTTGAATCAATGACAAGGAATAGCTTACCGACTCAGATACCTGCCACCGCCACTAAAACTCTACAGTTACCCCCAATAATACGCACTGTGGTCCCGCTACAGCTGATAGCAACTTTCTTCAGTGTTGTTTTCTGTCAACGAATGACTGTCATAGGTGCATCTCAGTAAGAATTTGGCTGCTGTTCAGTTTACCTAGATGTTACGTGCAAGTTTCCGGTAACAAATGAGCTACTGATATAGAAAGAATTTTACAAAATCGCAGCAAAACTATGAGTATTCGATATACATCAGCAACTATGTAGTTGGTGATAATACAGGCAGCTGTGTACATGAGGAGGTTGATGCGCTAAACCACCACAATATGTAGATGCACATGTAAACTACTTTAGAAGCATAAGCCTCTAACAGGCACGTAAAAACGCATTCCAAACGTCATACGCTCAGAAAGTATATAACCGCAAATGTCCACATGTTTCATCAAAATCACAACGCCAATTATCCACACTAAGTCAATGAGATAATCTACGGGAAGGAGATCAATCCCTGCAAAGTAGAAAAATAGGGAATTTATGAGCGAGGTCATTAGCTTACCACTTCCCCATATGATAACTACCGTTACTGGGTGGGGAGATTGATAACAGAATCTTTATTTATTTAAATTCACGCTAAACGCCTATAATCAGTATGATCAACTACTTATTTCCGATATCTGAAAAATCCCACTACCTACGTAACAGACGAAAGGGAAGAGACTATATTTACAAATGACACATCTCAAAAGTATGAAATTATATTGAACACCTATGAAAAGTAGACTATCTCCGAAACGCTATCCAGTAACCATTTCACTGTGCGGTATATCTAGCAAACAAACTAATATAGAACTACTAAATCTTAAGCGACAGACTCAAACAACAGAACATAAGAATTTAGCTAAACATAGAACGGCAGACCCCAATAAGATCAATAACCTAGAAAAACACTCAGCCATTGCATTACATTCATTAACACACAACCACACAATAGGGTGGGACAAAACCACTGTACTTAAGTCTAATATAGCCAGGTGGAGAGAGAGATTAATTACTGAATCTTTGTTCATCGAATCCACACCCAACACATGTAATAGGAATGACACAACACCTATACCAGAGATATGGAAAACTTTACTACCAATCAAAAAACAAAAAAACAAAGAGAGGTCAGGTGACAGGACTATAAAATCAGATGTCGAAAGAAGTGTGATTACATTGATATGATTATGAGCAATAATTTATGCTCGAAACGTAATCAATTAAATAATACTGTATCACTGTGCGCTTTATATCAAATAAACAAATCTAATATGAAACTACATTCTACCACAGTGCCCAAGTTTTTCACTTAGACTCAAACAATTTCTTTACGAGGAAGCACATGACGAGTGTTCACTGAGGTACGTATGATTATTCTCCGGAATATTCTATAAAGTGAAGATAAGATTAGGGCTTCAACTAAAGAAACTAAATACTGTGATTTTTTCAACTTCATAGGAGAGAGATCGAGTTACTGAATTCATATGGTAGGGTTGGCCAAAAATTCTTACTGATAGTTTCAATAGTCTTAGGTCACTGTTGTTAAATGAGTAACACGAACGATATTATTCACATATATCTACTGAAGTATACTGATTCTTCTTACTCCCTTAAATATGCGATACCTGTATGTTTTGTTTAGATCAATTGTCAAAGCGCATCAAATTGTAGTAGGTCTTTACTGGCTCCTCACTCAGATTCGTACAATTGATGCTTTTGCAATCTTTATTGTGGATTTTTGATGCATAAATTTTTTCTATTTTTGCATCAATGGTTTTTTTTCACTACTGACTATTTCTAGCCTTTGAGTTTGTTTCATAAATGAACACACTTCGTTCAGTTAATCAACATCCTTGTTACCCATTTCTGGTTGTACTTCTTCCAATATACTTTGATTTCCTTCAAATTTTATTGGACTTCACTCTTGACTGCCCGATGATTATCAATAACGAAACGGTCACAATCGACGGTGACTTAATGATTATTTTAGTCACGGTTTTGAGATGGTGTGAAAATGTACAGCGCATATCGAGCCACTACCTACTTCGACATGGCATTCTACAGGAAGCTGGATAAGGTTAGAAGAGGGTTCATGATGACCGTATCAAGACCTGGCGCCAGTCGATGAAGTCTTTGACTGTTGATCTGAGCCGTGTAGGAAGACGTTGATCGCCTACCTGGGGTCCCTAGGACAAAAGGAATCAGTGGTTGAAAACTCTTGGTGACATGACTGAAAACTAGTCACAATGGCGCAGATGTATTAACTCTTTGACATCTAAAGCTTGGATATTCGTACTAACCTTTATCTTCAGACTGTTTATTCTTTCATACAACTCTGTCTACACTGTTATCACTCTTTTTCTATCCGCCTGTTCTTCATGTACTACTGTGAAGTGTGGCAACTTGAACTGATGCACTTGTGTGCGAGGTTCTGTGATGATATTGTCAGTCAATCAATTTTGTTAATATTATCCTTTTAAAATAAAGTTTGACATTTTTGTATCAGACTTCTCAAATTCCTGTTTCGCTTCTCCTGAGTCTAAGTATTGCCGCTTGGAATTTAGCTTCTACCAGATATTTTTCGGCTATACATTCAAAACTGAAAGCCATAACTGCACAAATCTTACATAGTGAAATACATAAGGACTCATACACACTATCAACCACCCTCCAAGCCTATTGGATCAGTTCACAATACTTCAATTTGTTGATACGGTGATATAGAAACTATCCCATCTGTCAGTATTACTTCACAGTACATTAAGAAGGCAAACAGGACAAAATTTTAACGAAGGAATAGTACTATTTTGAAGAGTCTTTTTGAACCATTTCTATATTAAGAAAGAGGCTTAATGAATATATTGATGTACAAATAAGTGAGAATTAGAAGTCAAAAAAAGTGACTTCTAAAAGATCTTATGTTTGCCTTTCTTAAATGAGGGAGGTGGCACTGCTTAACGTAACTCTGTATGTTTGTGACTTATTAAATCTATTATTTTATTTATTCTTCCTGATTTCCCTCACTGACATTGCTAATGACATGGAAAATTGTTTTGCAAACTTGCCCGCAACATGGAAACTTAAATACAAATAAACGGTGTGGATTTTTACAATTTATAATAAGAACAATTGAAAATCTGTTATTTTGCTATGAATGGAAAAAATTCGATACACTGAAGTAGCAGATAAGCAAAAAGTTTTCTCAAAAACAATGTGCAGAGAAAAAGAGGAATAGAATATATAGTCAGTAACCTGATTTGAAATCAGTCGCAGACCCAACTACCAATCTGTATTTGTGTCTGCATACATTGTATTGTTGATGATAATAGTTGCTATAATCTGTTGGATTCAAGTGAATTTTCTTTAGTCTATCTGGTGGCTAGCAGTGCAATCCAGGACGCACGGTTCATCCTATATGAGACTCGTCAGGTGGGTGTAACTGTAACCCAGTGAGTGATGTTGTTCTCACAGAAACTCGAACCCAACACCCACCGCTTCAAACACCGAAGCGTTATCCACTAGGACACTGGGACACGAGAGCCACCACTTGTGCAACGAATATCAATAGACGAAAAGCGCACTCTTGTTATTCGATTGGTGGAGTAACATAATACTAAAATTTGACGTGTACAAACTTTTAATAACTTAAATCAATACACTAAAAACATATTCGAATACGATTTCACCTTTCTCCCCTATGACAGCAATGAACGCATGAATTAAAACAATTTATTCA